AAGAAACCCACTACTTATTTCTCCCAGCATAGGAAAAGGCAAACAAAAAGAGCAGCAACTCTATATTCTTACAGGTTGTAGGAATAATCTCAAAGTCATGCAAAATCAAGGACACTGGGAAAAATGATGACAAAATCAACAAGGGGTAGGTCAAAGAGAATTTAATATTTTTAAAACTATTCTGCCTCTGCCATTTTGACTGGATGGAAAGATCTATCATCTGCAGAAAATTTACTTCAGAGTTTAAATACCCTAGAGAAAAGATTATGTGGATCAGACTTCAGAACAGGAACTTAGCAAAATGAAGCTGCAGGAATTGAAATTCATTGCTGAGAGCCACTCCCTGGTTATCTGTCTCCTGCCACACGGATGCTCCCCTGGGAACTCTGGCCCTGCTGCCTTCAACACTGAGATTCACTTTTGTCTATATCTACTGTCCAGGCTGGGTCAGGCCAGGTTGGTCAGCAGCCAGGGAATACAGGAACAAGAAGCAATAGATGGCTGTTTATAAATAGCCCCAAGAAAGTTCTTAAGCTTGCCCTTAATGACACACAAGACCCCCATGTCCATGCTGTGGCCAAGACTCATTGCAGCTCTAGATTGGGCAAGGAGCATGGAGGTGTGGGTTTTGATTTTGTAACTGTTGTTAAGACTTTTTTTAAAATGTAATATTCTTAGGAGACCTTAAAAATATGGTGGGGAGACAGTGTGTCACAGCCCTGAATCCCCATCAGTGCCATATTCCAGATCAGTGTCATCACCTGGCTTCCTAGGGCAATGGCTGCCTGGGAACAGGCCTACTTCTCAGGTGCACTGAGGAGGCTGGACTAATAAAGGGATATACAGTAGTGCCAGGTTACAGCTCCCCTCCTTAGAGGAGTCAAGGTCTCTCCTTGTTGCCCATTTCTGTAAACAGGACTACTCCTACCTATAAACTCCATTGTCCACCCACCAGCCCCTCACCTACAGTATTCTATAGAAATATTTGGTGTTGCTATGTGACCATTCTGTGCTTAAATAAAAATCAAGTAACACACATGCTCATATTTATAAGTATAGTATGCTAATTCAGTACATGTACACATTGTGTAATGATCAAATCAGTGTAATTAGCATTCCCATCTCCTTAAACATTTATCATCTCTCAGTGGTTAACCTTTTTTTAAATGAGTTAATTGCACAGCCTGATTGTAGATGGCTCAAAGGGGGAAGGTGGGCTCACATATTTCGGGGTGCCTTTCTATGGCCTCAGTCAATGTCTTCCACACAGCAGACATTCCCAATGGTGAGTTCAATAGGTAAATGAGAATTTTTTAACTGAAGCTGTAGATGTTTATGCAAATGAAAATCTTAATTAGAACTAAACCGTGCTTCAAAGAAATCTTAAGGTCTCTAGTGACATCCTCCACCTCACAGATGTTTATTTACGGAATGCCTGAACACAACATGGTAATAATCCTGGTATAATTTTCCTGGAAACCAGTTCCCTTTAAAATCAATTTCTGTATTCAATAGGTTGCTGAAGAGCAATGGTTTTCTGAGGACCAGGAAGGCAGGCACCAGGAACAGGCACCTGTCCAGGCACGTTTGTCTCTAACCTGGCATCATGGAGTATGATCCCAGCACTTGAGAGGCTGAAGCAGAACTGCTTCGAGTTCAGTGTCACCCAAGTGCCCAGGGCCACAGAGAGAGACTCTGTCATAAATAAATAAATAAATAAATAAATAAATAAATAAATAAATAAATGGAAAAAAGAACAAAAGGAACGAAATAATTAAAAAAGAAAAACCATCAACAGTTCTCCATTCCCACAGGGCATGGGGAGGCATCTGCATCACCTCCTGGAGTTCCCAGAGCTTCAAATTTACTCCAGTGTTATGTGGGAGGAGTTGGCTTTACTGTGAATCATACTGTATTAGTCCCTCCTGGGTTCATATAGAGTCTGGGGTTTGTTCATTCATTCAAAAAAAGTTATTTAGCACCTCCAGCAGGTGGGGCAGTGGGCTAGGAGTTAGGGGTGCAATGGGGAACAAATCCAGCAAAGGAAAGAAAGACCTGAAGGCAAGGAGCAGATGGACAATATATGCCAGAGGGTGAGAAGTACCTTGGAGGAAAAATGCAGCAAAGAGAATCAATTGGAAGCTAGAATATTGATCAGTGGTAGCTGGAATATAGCTCAGTGGTAGAATATTTGCCTGGTGTGGCCTTTGGTTACATCCCCAGCAGTGTAAAGGGATGGTGCATGGGGGCTGATAGACAGAGTAGACTGAAGATAGCACAAGAGAGTTTGGGAAGAAGTACCTAGGGGGGGGGGGGCTTAGGAAGACAGCAGTAGAAAGCAAGGGAACCTGCCAAATGACTTTCTAGGCAGGGGGAGCAGTCATGTAAAATCTCTGAAGGTCATTCTTGGATAACATGTTGCTAATATCAAGGGGACAGAGAGCAGAGAAAGGAAGAAGAGGGCAGAGGGCCTTAAAGAGAAAGGACAGTAGAAGGAGGGAGTCTTCAAGGTAACTTGACATGCTGCAGATGTTATATTGCCCAAGGACAGCAGAGTCCCTGGAGTAATCTAAGACTGGGAGCATGTGACTGAACCTTCAAACTCACTTAATAGTCAGTCTGGATGGTGTGCTGAGAATAGATACAATTAGGGGAGATGAGAGCCAAGCAAGATGGATAGATGGAAGACTAGTGATGGAGGAGAGAAAGCAGGTTTAGGACAAAATGGGCTGATGCACAGTTTGGAAGGTTAAACTGTCCAAGGTTGTTGAAGGGTCTGATGCAAAAGTCAAGAGTTCAAGGTAACTGAGGTCTTTGATCTGAGCAGATGGACTGGCATTTACCCAGATGATGACTATGAAGAGGCACAAATGAGAACTATGGCAGACAATGTCATGAAGCCAAAGGCAAGGAGTCAGGTGTGTTAAAGCGAGGCTCACAGCAGGCACCAGGATGTCTGCATGCCCCAGGGAAAGAGCTTGGCCTTCCAGGGTGGCCCACATTCTACCATCTAGGCCTAAAGGAAGGAGGCCAGGAAAGAAGCACAGGTGAGCACATGAGTGGGTAAGCTATGCCTGCTTTACCTCTTGGAGAGAGATATCTCCAAACTCACATTATTATTACAGATAGAACAGAAGTGCCTCATGTGTGTCTGTGCACCTCCAGCATCTGTTTTCAACCTTTCAGTTCTACAGATTCCACAGCAACCTCACCTGCCTCACCACCGAGGAATACCCTCTGTCCCCAGTCCTACTTCCCTTGCCTCTACATTACAAGAAGCCTAGGCTTCCCTCAGCTTATCTGACTCTTAATTGTGGGCCACCAATCCAAGGATGAAACAAGCATCATGGATTACCCAAAAATTAAGTGAAATATTTTCAAAGCTTAAGCGTGTTCAATTCTTTAATTATTCTTTTCAAATAAAAAAAAAGAAGCTGTCAGCTGGCACATTTGATAAAAACAATATTCTTGGCATATAACCTCAACGTACAAGAAGCTGAGCAGCAATAGAACTGGGCTGCAACTGCATTGCTTGTTTATTTATACAAATAAAGACGCCATTTATGGATGCATAAATTAATTTAAAATAAAGTGCCATGTCTGAAAGACATGAATCTCCAATTACAAGCTGTTTAGCAATTATGTATTAAACTTTTTAATCTTATCACCTTGGTGAGTTATGTGCCAATAGTAGCAACAGCAATTCAGTCCAAAAGATTTTTTTAACCACTTATGATGGCCAAAGAAATTATATAAACCTTCACATCTGAGAAAACCCAGGTAAAGCAATTAATAAAGGACTTTAAAAAAAAGCACGTTCAAATGTAAAATTATTTTGGAATAGGATAAAACCTCTAAAAGTACACTAAAACGCAGGTGTATCCTGGGTGTGGTGGAGCTTGTCTGTAGTCTCAGAGCTTGGAAGCATGAAACAGGAAGATCAAGAGTTCAAAGCTAGTTTAAGCAACATAGTAAGGTCCTATCTCAAAGCAAGAGAGAG